TGTGTTTCCCTCTCTCTCTGCCCCTTCCCCACTCACATGCTGTCTCTCTCGAAAGTAAATATTAAAAGAAAAAAAAAAGAGCTACCTGGGTGGCTCAATTGGTCGTGTCCGACTTCAGCTCAGGTGATGATCTCACAGTTCATGAGTTCAAGCCCCACATCAGGCTCAATGCTGTCAGTGGAGTCTGCTGGAGATCCTCTGTCCCCCTCTTTCTCTGCCCTTCCTCGCTCATGCTCTCTCTCAAAAATAACAATAAAAAAATGAATTAAAAATTGCATTCAAAGCATATATATTTTGTTTTCCCATATCTTTCCATGATTAAATATTCTGTTTTTCTAATTGTCTGCGACAGATGGATGATTATTTACCTAACCATCATTGTGAGACTGGATGTTTAGGTTTCTAATTTTTTTATTATAAATAATGCATTAGTATCATTCCTTTGGAATCTTTCCTTAGATTTCTAGAGCCCAGTGAATTAGTCAGAGGCTATGAATACTTCTGAAGCTCTTCACATTGCCAAAGCACTTCTAGAAATGTAGTTTAGCCTACCAGTATGGGTGGCTGCCTCAAATTCTCACTAACATTATTTTTAAAGATTTTGCTACCTTGATAGGTAAAAAAGTATTTTGTTATCTCTCTATGCAAGTGGAGGTGAACTTAATATTACTTGCATTTTCTTTTGTAAAATTTATTTTTTAAATTTTTATTTTTCAGAGAGAGACAGAGCGTGGGTGGGGGAGGGGCAGAGAGAGAGGGAGGCAGGGAATCCGAAGCAGGCTCCAGGCTCCGAGCTGTCCGCACAGAGCCCAACTGCGGGCCTTGAACTCATGAACCATGAGATCATGACCTGAGCCGAAGTCAGACGCTTAACTGACTGGGCCACCCATGCGCCCCTTCTTTTGTAAAAATTATTGTTCACAAGTGTGTGATCTATTACTTAACATGTTTTGTTTACTTTTGAGAGTGCAAGCAGGGGAGGGACAGAGAGGGGGGAACAGAAGATCTGAAGTGGGCTCTGTGCTGACAAGCTGACAGCAGCAAGCCGGGCGTGGGGCTCAAACTCACCAACCGCAAGATCATGACCTGAGTTAAGGTCCATTGCTCAATCAACGGAGTCACCCAGGTGCTCCCAGGGTCTTCTTTTCCTTACAGGATTACATGCACCAATGTCAGCTTTTAACTCTGTGCCCCATTGTCGTAAATTATTTCAGTGCATCATGTAATCTGATTATTGTTGACATACATTAACACGGAGGTTAAGATCTGCTTTTACTGGTTACTCTTGAGTCTTAAAAATGACTTTCTAGGGGCGCCTGGGTGGCTCGGTCGGTTAAGTGGCCAACTTCAGCTCAGGTCACGATCTCACAGTCCGTGAGTTCGAGCCCCGCGTCGGGCTCTGTGCTGATGGCTCAGAGCCTGGAGCCTGTTTCGGATTCTGTGTCTCCCTCTCTCTGCCCCTCCCCCGTTCATGCTCTGTCTCTCTCTGTCTCAAAAATAAATAACCGTTACAAAAAAAAAAATAAAAAAAAAATGACTTTCTAAGCACCTAGAACAATCTCTCTCACATACACTATGACTTAAAAGTCAGGAGTTACTGTAAGCTATTGTTCCATTCATAAAGTAGGAGCACATTTCTTAAACTCAGTCTTTCTCCCAAGAAATGCCATGTATTTTCTGGAGAAGAGCCCGCATCTCTGACTGGGGACTGTAATCTGGAGAGGAACAGGCAGCATACAAGCCTGAGCTCCTTTCTTGGCTTTTCCACTAACTGCGGGGGCTCGGAGACAAGTGCCTGCCACCTGGGAGCTTCAGCTGTGGGCACGTGGGCCACAAGCTCCCTCAAGCCTCCCTTCCTACATTCTGGGTTGTCTTCTGGAACGCGAGGGTGCCCAGCCTGTAACACCGCTGCACCATCAGATGAGGCCTCGACGTTCTCTTCGTAAGACGGGAGAGGAGGTGCTCCCGGGAAGACAGCCTTAGTCGGTCCCGGCAGCCAGAACATCCTGAGTCCCCTGCTCCGCGGCACACAGGCGACATCGGCTCAGGCAAGCTCGTTCCCCTCGAGGAGCCTGTCTTGTCTGCTGGTCAGGAAACATTTTCATGCAAGTAGGTGCCCAACAAAGTTAAAGATCTCCCTCTTTATCCTTTAAAATTGTTATCCTTTTAAATGCCTTTCTTGTTTGCTGAGGTCTTCCCCCCAAACGAAAGGTCTCTAGTTATTGCCGAACCAGGCAGCTAAGCACAGAAGCATAGAGACCAAGAGAAAAATCATTTGCCCGGGAAGACGTGTGCAGCTGTCCAGACGGTGGTGGTGTTTTCAGCCTGGCGCCGCACGCACGCACGCGCAGGCCGCCTCCCTGCAGGTCCTCGAGGCCTCGGCCTGCTTCTCCGATGGCTCCTGGAGCTGCACGTGCTTTTGCTACCAGTTCTCACACGAACACAACGGGGACTGGGACGATTCTGCTCTTGGTTTGGGCCAGAAATCGCTTGATCCTGAAAGTTTTGTGAGAAGATACGGTGAGGGAGAGTCTAGCGCTCACACCACGAGGAGGGGAGAGAGGGGTGACGGTGGTCTCTCATCCGGGGCGTGTTAGGGTAAAAAGAACACCCGAGCCTGAAGTAATTAACACAGATTTACTACAAAGAATCGTCGACTCTTCTCCGTCTCTGTTGAGCAGGCGAACTGTGTGATGTAAGAGCTAACGGCCGCGGCAGCTTTAGGCCAAACTTGGCTACACGGAGCCTCCGGAAGTCACTGGACGCAGACGGGCTGGTGCGCCTGCTGGTGTGCCTACTACAGCGCAGAACCTTGGCTTGTAGTGAAAGGGTGCGCGGGGGAGGACTCAAAGCACCTAGGTTTTTCAAGATAAGTTACCACGCAAACATAAGCTCTTTGCTCTGTGTCCCTTACAACATTTAACAGGGAAAATCCTCACCGGTCCCCAACACCGAGAGCTTTGCCAGTCCATCTCAATGGGCCGGAGACACGGGTGAAATCATACAAATTCAGACAAGAAGTAACACGAAGCAGAAATGCAGGCACACGGTTTTTCAAGTATACAATTTGTTTTTATTTACAATACCCTATAAAAATGTAAATTTAGAAACTTTAATTTTTATTAATTAGAACCAAACAAAAAAGAGAAAGCACAGAAAGGAAGAAATAATAGTCAAGTATTCACTTGATCAGTTGTGAGGGGAAGGGAGGAGAGGCGCATGGTGGAAACAGTCAGTAGATGAGGGCAGAGGGAAGCTAGGTCATGTCACCGCGGAGCAGCTGGTGGGGCCGGGGCTACGGAACGGGGACAGACAGATGGAGAGTGAGGACAGCCGGTTACAACGGAGGGCTTTCTGGTTGTACAATACATGTATGTGCAAAATGTTGATTCTCTTTAAATATCATAACCCGTCCCCTCACTAACATTTGAAAAGGTGAGAAGAGCAAAAAGTGTAACAGGACAGTCATGAGAAACAGACTCTGACTTAACTGCCTTGAGGGCTGAGATCACTCGGGATCAAACCCCTCATCCTATGTGGCTGCTGCGCGGGACAGGGACAGGTGCAAAGGACCGCGGGGAGCTGTCCCTGCCGGGACACAGAGCCAGGCCCCTGGCTGCCTGGGAGCGGGGGCCTGGAGGTGAAGGGGGAAGGACAGCAGGTGTGTCCGTGGCGTGGGGGAGCCCACAGAGCAAAGCAAGCCGAACTCTGCTTGTGTGGCTACCGCTGGAGGTTGCTACCCCCGACACCAAATCAGAATGGGGACGAGGGAAGTAAAAGCATGGCTTACTGAAATTGTCTCAGGAAGACAGAGCGAGTGTGCAAACGCTACGCTGCGGAAGCAGGCTCTCGTCCGGTTCATTGGGGGCAACCCTGCAGGTCGTAGAGGGGACAGGCCCCGGGGCGCTGCCGTTGTAGCCGGAAAAGGGCTTAACCGTGTACGTTTTCACTGAGGTGGACAGACACCGAGGAAGTACAGCGGGGACGAGAGACAGGACTTCTCAGCCTAGAGCTGGGTGTCAGCCAATTAAGAGTTTTGATTTTATTAACGTGCTGCATACCCTGCGTTTATATTAAAACAAGTAGAACCCACCAAATTAATTACAGGATAGACTAGAAACAGATTAAAAATACATCAGCTGGTTTGTTTTTAGAGGAGGGACGTGTCAACTACGTATTTCTCAACCTAAAACTCTTTCTTTACGGATCCTCTGGAGACCACACGAACGCGTGCAGAGGGGGCGTGCGCGCATATATGTATATATTGGTTTCTACTTAATTGGTTCTCCTATAGTCGTATTAATATGGGGCAACGAAAGAAGACTTTGATAGGATGAGGGAAGGAACCCTCTGGCAGGCTACAGTCTACTGTGACCTGGAGCGGTGGTGGTGGGACAAAGGGAGAGATTACATTTGTGTCTCTAGGGCAAAGAAAATGCACAATTGAGAAGACTTGAGGGACAGCAGGACATGCAGAATTGTAACACAGAAGGTAAGAAGAAACCAGAAGGGTCACCCAGCCAAATTTCACAGAGCAGTGGGGAAATACCTGGCATTCAGAGACGACCCCTGCCAACAGGAATCAGTCCCACAAGACGCTTTGGGGAATAAGCTACCTTCCCTCCCTCATTTAAAAACACTCCATTGTGATGGCGGCAGTGCAGGTGGCAGCCAAAAGGAGGTACAGGACACATTTGGAGATCTTTTATCGTATCCCCTGAACTAGCCTATGGGTATAAAGAAAGAGAAAAAGGAAACTTGTGTAAACGAGTTAAAACAGAAGGCAATCTTTTGCACCAAAGTCACACCCTTGTTAGAATTCTCGTAACAGAACACCCACAACCTCTCTCTACCCTTAGTGAGCTCTGAGGGTGCTGCTGCTCCTGGTACGGGGCCCGGTCTCTGGCAGATGCTTAGAGATTTGATACGAGTCTCTACGGTCTTCCACTACATTCAGTCCTAGGCCCCTGACCTCCTCTCCTCGGGACTTCTAAAGTGCCAACTTTAGAAAGATGCAGAACTCTCCTGTTTCAAACTTACTGCAGCTTTGTTTCCAGCAAGTTCAGTTTCTGTCGGTCAACATAGCGAGAAAAGAGGGATACCAGGTTTGTCGGTATTGAGATTGGCTTGGCCAGGGCTGCTTGGGGAATCCGCAGGAGTTCTCGGGTCGCCATGAACATCACCTCTGTCCTGAAAGGTAACCCAGTGAGAACCGATAAGGACAGTATAAGAAAAAGAATAAAAGATTATTCTGAAAAGACTGAAAGGAGAAACCCAACCCCGACTGACCACTGGTTGCTCTGTGTGGATTCTGTAGCAGGCTCTGAACTCTGTAGGTCTTCCCCACGGCTCAGGATGACGAGGAGCAGTGACAGGCCAAACTACAAGAGGAGACAGAGGGACTCAAAATCAGCACCACATCCGTCCTCCACCACCACCAAAGGGATCCCAGTACTAGATGGGGAACGGCACCAGATCAAAAGGACCCCACCGCAGTGCTGCGAAACGGGGCAAACGTCAGACAACCGTGAACTGGGAGGCCGAGTCCTCCCGACTCTACTTCCGGCAGAGCAGCAACAGGCATGCTCCACGAGAGGGGAAGTCCCTCTCTGCTCGCCCACCCCACCGTGACAGGAGAAGCTAGTTTCCCTGCCACGGAAAATGTGCAGTTAGATTTTCTCCTGTTCGCTACAACAGAAACGGATTAAAAAAGAAAATCAAAGACAAACTTGGATACAGAAAATTAAAGTTCACAGCAAATGTAAGGAAAAACACTACACAGATTACGAGATTTTGAACTAAGAAAAAAAGATGTTACGACTGGTGGGAAAATGTACAAAGAAAGGTAACTGAAATGATCAGGATGTGAAGGGATTTCCTTAAATCTCTGTAAAAACTTTCCTTAACAAAGGATACACCTACTGGACATATAAAGGCTTAGACGAGATGTTAAAAACAGAAAAAGGATACACGATACATCCATGTTTCTAATCTAACAACGTGCTTTGAGGTTAAAGATTTGTTTCATTAGATTGGTTTTATCCGGTGGACGTGTGGTCTGAAGAGGCACAGAAGGAAATACAAATGGGGACGAGTGGTACAAGGTTAAATGTAGAAGTCATAGCTATACTGGATCTGAAGGGAATCCCACCTTTCTGAGTTCACCTCACAGAGGACAACCTTTGTGTCACCGTCAGGAAAACGACACTGGGCTACACATATAACCTCTTGTCTGACTTCGTGGTTTTCTATCGCCTTTATCAACTTTACAACTCATAGACTGAATAACGTGGAAGGCCTATAAGCTATCCCTCCAGAATCCCCATCTTCTGGCCCCCGAAGCACTGTCACCTCTCGGCCCCGGATGTACCGCCCTCAGTCACTCTTTGGCGGGTTTTCAGGTGCGAGGGAGATAGAGGCCTTGACACTACTTTCTCTCTCTGCCAGCACACGTGCCCACTGTGGAAAGGCATGACACTGAAGGTCACAGCGGTGCACTCATCTGAGTGACAGGACAGCCCTGGAATCGACCTCGTCACTTCCCCTTCCAGGTCAGGAAATGGGCTCGGCAAAGCAAAATCATCGGTTTGGTGTCACAAGCCTAGAAAATGGCAGGCAAGGAATGGAAACCTGCTGAGAGCTCGCGTCTTCTCTTCTGTTATGCTTCCTTTGCACGTCTCTGGATCGTCAAACTGATGTAAATGAAATATGAAATGGGATGTCTTCTACTATTTAGTCTCACGACCGAGAGTGTGGATTACTGACCCAGTACGTTCTCGTCCTCATGTGAGAACTCTGATTTTATCTGAGGTCACACCGCTGTGAACTGAGAGATGTTTTCCAGGCTTCTCTGCAGTGACGTGTGGCAGGTGAGTTGAACCTGGCCACTGAGGTTAAGCTGCTGGTTAGAACTCCTAGAACAGGTCCAGACAAGGCAGACAGATGGCAGATATCCACCGTTTGGCCCCTCTGCACGCACCTCTCTTCCTGATGCAAAGTGGAGCCTTGAATTCAACAACTGGCACAGAGCCTGAGGGTCACCAGCATGGCAGCCACTGCTAAGGCTGCAGAGAAGGCAAACCAAAGGAGCCTGTGTCCCTGAGGGCAACGTGGACACCACACGAAAGCTGTTCCACGTGAGATACAGAAAACCCTATTTTGCTGAAACCTTCGTCCTTCCTAGCCTCTGTCACTAGGAGCTCAATGTAACTTCTGACTGAAAGAAGCCTTTCTTTTACAAGTTGCCACAGCTACAGCAGCCACTATTTGTATCTACAACTCAAATCTAGAAGGCTGGCAAAGTTCAGGGACACAGGAGGGCAAGAGCACCTTGTTCTGGAGCACAGCAGCGAGGTGAGGGTTAGAGGGCGCTGGCGCGGCTGCACTCTGAGGTAGGTTCATTAGCTGTTGCAGAAGGCTGGTGACAGTCACTGATGGAAGGTGATAGAGCAGGAGGGAGAAGGGACTCAGTAAGCATGGCAGCACCTACAGAAAACAGAGAAAAGCATTACATCCTGGCCACTGGGGTGTCAGTGGGCGCGGACCGGATGGGGGTGCTCAGCTGTGCACTCAAACGGCCTCAGGCAAGTTGTAACAAAAAAGGGTTGACGAGTCTAGCAGGTACTGCTGGGTCTTAACAATGGATTCGGAGGTGTCTACTGAGAACTTTTTAAAACTCAATTTGTGCAGGAAACATGACTTGTGTGAACCAAGGGTGTAGAATCACTTCTCAAAGAGCAAGATTCATGAGAAGACATCAGTGTTTTAGTTCACTCCACAAATACTGACTGAAATGCCTACGGTGTGTCTGGCCACGTGGGTTAAAATGAAATGGTAAACAGGACAGACCTTCAGAGAGCTAAGGCTCAGTGGGGAGTCACAAGTATATGGGCACTTTCATTATACCCTGAGAAGCACTGGGAGACAGGGAGATCCCGAGTCCTCAGAACTACCCAGAAGTACTTTCAGACTTCACTGGATCTTGTTTGATCTTTATAAAAGCTCAGTGAGGAAATGGAGAAATGATAATCCAATTTTCACAGATTAGACAAGCTAAATGAAAAGGGCCTTGGTATGAGGAAAAAAAAAGGGGGGGGGGGGCTCGGTGTTCAGAGTGACATAGCTAACAGAGAGAACCAGAATCCAAGGCCGTTGAGTCGTTCCCTCCGTTCCGCCCCAAGGCTCAGACTGGAAGGTGAAAATACAGTGCTACCAATAAAATTAGGTTCTAACACAGGTAAGGAAATCAAGGGTGCTCCCAGCACTCAGTGTCCATGGTATAAAAAATGATGGCTGGTGTTACTTCAGACCGCATTCAAGGGTGGCGTTCAAGAGTAGACTATCTGTGGGGCGCCTGGGTGGCTCAGTTGGTTGAGCATCTGACTTCAGCTCAGGTCACGATTTCACTGTCCGTGAGTTCGAGCCCCGCATTGGGCTCTGTGCTGACAGCTCAGAGCCTGGAGCCTGCTTCGGATTCTGTGTCTCCCTCTCGCTCTGCCCCTCCCCCACTCACACTCTGTCTCAAAAATAAATAAAAACATTAAAAAAAAAAGTAGACAATTTGTGATCTACTAGTCTAAATAAACACAGCTTTAACAACAAAAGCAGCTTTAATCATACATAAAAGTGAACAAGTGTATGATGATGTCTGTGTACCCATCACCCAGCTTGAACAATAAATCATCAGCATCCTGCCAGTCTATGTTTCTCCTAAATCATTTCATCCGTAAATACTCTACTTTGGATCTCTAACAAGACCTCTTGCTGTATTACGGCACCTAAAAAAATTAAATTTCCTCCAAATTCAAATTTCTTCACTTGTCTCAAAAATGTCTTTTAGCAGTTGACTTATTCTAATCATGATTCCAACAAGACCCACACATTGCATCTGGCTGGTAAGGCTTTTAAAATCTGTGAACGGGGGGCACCTTGGTGGCTCAGGAGGGTCTGACTATTGATTCTGGCTCAGGTCATGATCTCATGGGCTCCTGAGTTTGAGCCCTCAATCGGGCTCTGTGCCCCCTCCATTGCTTGTGTTCTCAAAAGAAGGAAAGGGAAAGGAAAGGGAAAGAAAAGGAAAAGAAAAGAAAAAAGAAAAATCTGTGAATAGGTCCTTTGCCCACTGCCTGTCTCGTCTTGTTATTTAGTTGTTGAAGACACTGAGTTATCTGTCCCATAGTTTGGATTTGGCTACTTGTACCTCTGTGAGGTCACTTAACAGCTTCTACTAGCCTCTGTCTTTCCGACAAAAACCAATGGTTAGAATCAGAGGTTTGATTAAATAAGGTTTAAGTTCCCTGGAGGGGGGTGGGAAGACGAGGGCAAGAAAACTTGTGTGCCTTCTCCTGCATCATGTTAAGAAGCACAGTGTGTGGGTGCCCCCCCCCACTTAGTGATCAGATGTCTGCTCCTGCCCCAACCACTGTAAAGTTTCCCATCCACCTGTTATCTAATGCCTTTTGCACCAGTAGGCACTGCTGTCCAGACTGACTGGCTATGTTGTTAGGGGTTGTAAAGTGGTGATCTTCTAATTTCATTTCTTTTGCATTTATTAGCTGAAATTCTTCTATGAAGAACCTTCTGTTATCAACTTTCTGGTTACTGTGATACTTGGTTGTGATGGAAAGGCAAGATAGAGGTTTGATTCTCTTTCAAAGTTTACCCATTCTCAGAATAATGAGTTCTGGATGGCCTAGCAATCTCTGAAGGTGATTAATATATTTTTTGGTATCATTATGAACTCATTGAATGAAAAATCTTTAATGTATTTCAATCCATTGCCGTACTTTTTCTTTCTGATGCAAATTATCCCATTTTTGGCCAACAGGAGCCCCTTCGGTTTGGTTTGTGCAATTTTACATGGGACCCCAGTAATCTTTTAGCTTCCTTACTTTCTGGCATGAGATATTCCAGGATTACCTTGTATATTTTGTGCTGCGGACCTGCTAGTTATTACTTCAAGAAAAGGTATTTGGAAAAGTGGCCTAGGACTCTAGTGCATATAGGTAAAAACTCCACCTCTGCAGTTAACCAAGTTTTCCTGCTCAGCAGGTACCTCCACTCAAGCAAGCATCTTTGAATTCCTAGCTCCCAGCACCTAGCTCTAGGTGCTGTATTTCTGGGACCTAAAATAGTGCCTGGTTCACAAAGGCGTTCAAAATTTACTGAATGAATAAAGCTCTCCCAAACTTGTCTCCACTGATGAGTTACTCTAAGACTGAGTGCCCGCCTCACAGCCTAGAACAATCTATAAGCTGTCAAGGGAGCTGTTGCTTTAGTCTTGCTTTTTCGAAGATAAACCTCAACTCCTTAAACTTCACTCCATTTTTCCTTCTTGAAATCCTTAAAAAATGTGTCTGTCTCATCCCACTTCACTGTTCTTGATGATGAAGGCTCCACTTGGCATTGCTTTCTTCTATAGGTGCTACAACTTCACAAGGAATTTTTCAACTCAGAAGGAGTTATTATTATTACTTCAGGAGAAGTAATGTTCAACTCTTTCATGCCATACCACTTACAGGGTATCCTGGCATCATGTTTTCTGTGGACCAACACCAGATTGTTCTTAATCAACTCACAGTCTATTGTAACAGGCTCACTCTCATAAATTCTAACATTCTGAACCTCACACTTGGTAATGATTTCCCTTTATGCTGCATTTACCAATTTCTTGCTCTGAACTTAAGACTATTCTAAATATTGTTAATCTTTCGAGTATTACGACAAGAACAAGAAAGAGCAATTCTTTCTTACCAACAGTTAGCTTCTAAACTTCAAAATCATGTTTCAAATTCCAGACTAGTTTAAATTTTTAATGTTCGTTCATTTTTTGAGCGAGAGTGTGCGAGCGGGGGGAGGGGCAGAGAGAGAAGGAGACAATCTGAAGCAGGGTCCAGGCTCTGAGCCATCAGTACAGAGCCTGACACAGGGCTTGAACCCATGAACCGCGAGATCATGACCTGAGCTGAAGTTGGATGCTTAACCGACTGAGCCACCCAAGTGCTGCAAATTCCAGCCTAGTTTAGATCGTGACAATTATTAGTTATAAGCACTGGCTTGATTCCTGTGAGATATCATTCAACTAAGGCTACAGGCGACCGTTCAGTCTTGATAACAGCCAATGAGTGATGCTTTATATCCAGCAAAGTAACCAAGACCGTAAGTGCAAATTTTCATGAGCACCAGATTTACCTGGGGACTCTCGTTAGATACAAAAGCCCTGATCTTTCTTCTGTAAATTCTGGTTCAGCATGTTTGGAGTAGAGCTAAATTATCTGCTTCCTAAGAAATTCTGATACGCAACACAGTTTTGCAACTGCATCAAATAAAATGGGATTTTTTTTTCAATATATGAAATTTATTGTCAAATTGGTTTCCATACAACACCCAGTGCTCATCCCAAAAGGTGCCCTCCTCAATACCCATCACCCACCCTCCCCTCCCTCCCACCCCCCATCAACCCTCAGCTTGTTCTGTTTTTAAGAGTCTCTTATGCTTTGGCTCTCTCCCACTCTAACCTCTTTTTTTTTTTTTTTTCCTTCCCCTCCCCCATGGGTTTCTGTTAAGTTTCTCAGGATCCACATAAGAGTGAAACCATATGGTATCTGTCTTTCTCTGTATGGCTTATAAAATGGGATTTTTTGCTTTCCTCAGTTTAGGAACTTGCTCTGTTGGGAGGAAAAAAATGGGATCAAGAATATAGGCCTGGAGTAAAGTTTTGCTTTACATAATCAAATCCTACTGCCAAAGGTTAGACAAAAGTACAGAAAAGGGGAGAGGAGAGGAGAAGCCATTTGGATTCTAGAGCTCTTATCAACTGTGAAGACCCAAAGGAAAGAAGTCCCACATGGGGGATCATCACCTCATCTTGGGCATCCTTCTTGATAAGGAAAGGGAGATTCCTGGCTGTTGTCATGAGAATGTCAGCTGCTTGCTCTGTGGAGAGGAAAGGAAGAATACGGGCAACCATTCTCTTCCCTTTTCGGATACACATGATCTGTACAAAGTGGTCATCACTTGGCCTGCAGGGGAAGGAAATGCTAACTTAGGTCAGCAAGAACAGTGCAAGACGCCCTTCTTCTCCGCTTACATGTTACTGAACAAATATACTGTACTCATTTTTACCCTACAATGACCTGTGCCACAAAACAGAATTACTTCTCCAACTCTCAACCAAATAATAAAAAGTAATTTTTCAAGGTTCACAAGCATAGAAAATCATCACTACACAAATGTATGTTAAAAAGACGTGGTCGAACTATAGGCATTAATTTCCTTTACGTTTATGTAACTTTACAAACAACATGATAATACAGCAAAATCTGAAAACCTACGTAAGCAAAAAGGATATAAAAGCATTCATTTCAGAGTTAATTTTATTAGTACTGTTATCATTTTTTAAGAACCTTTTTGCTGTATGTTTTTTCATTAAAAAATGACTCCATAGAATTCATATGACTTTGTTACTTTTTTCACTCAACAAATTCTTGTGACATTTTTCCATGTCAATAAATATACTTTAGTTACATCGATTTGATGACTGCCTAACATTCCCAACTATGGACAAACCCACATTTATTCAACCAGTTGCTTGTCAACACAACTCCAGAAAAGGTGTGTTGAAAAGAAGGTACTTATTCTTATGTTCTGGTTTGTGTATGTCCTGGCTTAGAAGAATCATCAATTCTCTTCAATGAGCAAAGGGAAATGGAGTTATCAGGACAGAGTCCTCTTGCATTCATCAAACACACACTTAGGGTTTATAAAACAGTTACTGTTAGCAAGATCCTGGGCAGAAGAGACAGATACAGAAAAATAGATATATTAAGGAGCTTAGGCCCCACTGGAAGACTGACTGCCTTCCATAGCATGTGCGTATTCTATGGAAATCCCAAGGAAGTATAAATATAAATGTCTATACTTTTCATCTCAGTAGAAAAGATAATACACAAAGATTACAAGCATGAACATGCTAAAATAAAGCATAAAGCAAGTACAATTCGTAGGCTCATAGAAACCAAACCATGTTCCCCACTACGTCTCCAGTGCCCAGCATACAGTGAATAGACGGGTGTTGAATATATGAATCCAGAATAAAGAGATTTTCTTTTTCCTGGCTGGGAAGGATTATGAAATGCTTTATATGACATGGCATTTGAGTCAGGCTGGAAGGATACACTCTGAGCTTCCTGAGATGGTAAGGAAGGTCAGCCAAAATACAGAAATGTGGAAAGCTCAGGTCAGCCGAGTGAGGACTCCAGCTGGCCTCATGTGTCCCTCCAAGTGTACAATTCTTACCTCTCTTGTCCAGGCAATTTCCCCCTTAAGTTGTCATACATGCAACAAATTTTGTGCTTTCTTTCATCCGCCAGGGCAGGTCGCTCTTCTTCTAGACTTAGGAGATACCGCCTTTCATAATCCTCCACATCAAGGAGTAAACTATAGGTCTGAGTGAAACACAAAGCAGGCCACAGCATGCTGGGTCAGGATCAGAGTATTAGATAAACAGTTTCACAGTTTAGGACCCCCCACGTAAAGACAGAAGACTGAAAACGAATTGTAGTAAGACTGAGAGGAAAAAGGTGCTCTTTTAAATCCAGAAAAACATAGTGCAGTAACTTAAAGAATTCCTGTCTGCTGTCCCTCCTTTAGTTTTTTTTTTTAACATTTATGTATTTTTGAGACAGAGAGAGAGACAGAGCATGAACGGGGGAGGGTCAGAGAGAGGGAGACACAGAATCTGAAACAGGCTCCAGGCTCTGAGCTGTCAGCACAGAGATCGACGCGGGGCTCGAACTCACGGACCGTGAAATCACGACCTGAGCCGAAGTTGGCCGCTTAACTGACTCAGCCACCCAGGCGCCCCTCTGCTGTCCCTCCGTGACCTCTAACCCAGGAAGTATCCATAGTGAATGACTGCACACTTTGCCAATGTTACAGCAGCAAGAACGGCATTCTAACATAAATGATGTTTATCACTGCTCCAAGTGATGCCCCATATTAATAAACACAGCAATCACTTTACTACTGGATACCAGGCACTGTGCTAGGCACTTTGCACGTACTCATTCACCAAATATTCTCCACAGCCCAGTGAGAGAGAGACTATTACCAGCTCCATTTTTATAGATGAAGAAAACGAGCACAGCACAGAAAGGTTAAGCAGCTTGTCTCAAGTCACAGGCTCAGCTAGAAATGGAGAAGATGTGAATCGCAGGCGGGTCTTGCCATGGTGTTGCAACAGGGTGTTTACGCTTAACGACTTTATTGCCTACACGGTTCTACTTACTCTGTTCTTAGCATCCAGCCCAGTGCCCAGCACCCAGGCGTACCCAGTAAATACATGTGGACTGACTTAATTAACTACATTGATTCACAGGTGGAACCACATAATTTTTATTCCCATTTTCTTAGAAGGTGACCTAACTAAAACACTCAGCGGTTAACTGAACAAGTGTGAACAAATCCCGATACTTCTGATAGTAGCAGTGTTCTTTCTGTGAGGTGCAGCACACTCTTTTCTAGTGCGCTCGGGTACACAGCAGGTGTGTAAGAAGAATATATTCATTAACTGCAATCACAGGACACCACTCCCTACTTTTCACTGCTCGCGAACACACACATTTGCGAGTTCCGTCTTTGAAACTAACGACAGCAACGGATTTTAAAACTTACTTTCTCAATTATGACCAGGGTTTTTCGTCTCTTGTCCCGAACCTGTTTTTCTTTCGTCTCCTAAAAAAAGACAAGACTATTCAGTGCGAACTGTTTACCTCTGTTAAGAATAACCTCCTAAGTGTGTACATATAGTTCCATTTGTGACAATACCGTAAGAGAATCCTAACTCTTCCAAAGTTAATAATCTAAAACAACACTAACTGGACAAAGGTCACAGAACTGAATGAACTAAACCACACAAATGATTAAACTGAATTTACAGACGGGCAAAAGGTAACGGTAGGATACAGTAAAGATGAAGATAATCCCAGGAAAATCTTAAGAGCACATAGAAAATGGTAATCTTAAGAACTGCACTAGATAGCTGATGCTGTTTGCAGCCAGTTACCCAGGTTAAAGACTCCTGCCGCCCCCTGTCCTGCCTGGCTGCTTTAGAGGTGAAGGTGTTAGATCTCAGCCCCTGTGCAGGAAACCAGAAAGCCAGGACATGCCAGGTAGGACGCTCCTAGTTAGACAACAACCGACTCCATTATGCATGAGTCCATTCCACAATGACCTCCAGAACAGTAGTGACGACCTGCACAATTCTGCTGACACTTACGTCATCCTCACTCCGAGATGTCACAACAGCATCGATCATCTTTCGGGGATTATTCACACTAGAGACAGTGAGCTTTCCCAGAGAGCCCTCAAACTGCACTGCAAAGACAAAACATTTCCAAAAAGGAAGTCAGCGGTGCAGGTGGGCCGCTTCCAAAGACCTTTATGTTCTCTGGTCTTTCCTCACAGCCTAACAATTCGATACAAAAACCTACATATCTAACGTGATTTCTTATTAAAATCGATCTTTTCCCATTTTGGGGTTGTTAATAATAATGACACTCTGAAGTATTTCCCTTTTATTATATAGGGATACCAGAAATTATAACACATTTGAAAAAGTTACGGAATCTCAAGTCTTAAAGGATCTACAAGTGCATCTGCTGAACCACTCACGCCATGCTGCAGAAAAGGCTGCCCTCTGCACGTAAGGACAATAGTCCTTGATGAATGAGTTTCGAACAGCCCTATATCCAGCCATCTACACGGCTGTTTATATTTTATCGTATCAGCAGCATGTCAAATGTCTTCTAATACGGACTGAGGGATAAGGACTTACCTGGCTTATAGGCGTGCTCCAGTTTGGCCACCTGAGGGGTAATGAGCTTGGTACGCTCCTTTTTAGGGCCTTCACCTTGCACTTCTTCAGCAGCTGACAGTTTCTCCAGTTTTTCAAAGTAATTCTATCACACGAGAAGGTGATTTCAGTTGCAACATAAGCCCAGAGTTTGGCTGCTCTTTACATAATTATGCCAGCGGCAGTTAACAACCTCAACTCTTTAGGTGTATTGATCTTTAATTTTTGCTAGACCGCTAGATGTTTCCTTCTCAAAAAGTCCCAGCCTTCAGAAAAGCCAATTATCAATGGAAATATCTTTAGACCTCCAATACCTTCTTTATAAAGTTTAACTTTATTTAGTTTTTAATTTTTTGAGAAAGAGAGGGAGGGAGAAAGCAGAGGAGAGTAGTAGAGGGGGAGAGAGAGATCTTAAGCAGGCTCCAAACTCAGTGCAGAGCCCCACGTAGGGCTTGTTCCCATGACCCTGGGATCATGAGCTGAAATCAAGAGTCAGACACTCAACCAACTGAGCTGCTCAGGCACCGCAGGCTGCCAAAATTCTTGTTTTTTACGTTTATTTATTTTTGAGAGAGAAAGGGAGGCAGAAAATCACAAGCAGGCTCTGTGCTGTCAGTGCAGAGCCCTGACATGGGGCTTAATCCCACGACCCTGGGATCATGACCTGAGCTGAAATCAAGAGCCTGACGCTTATGGACGCCTGGGTGGCTCAGTCGGTTGTGCATCCAACTTCAGCTCAGGTCACGACCTTGCAGTTTGTGGGTTCAAGCCCCACGTCGGGCTCTCTGTTGTCAGCACAGAGCCTGTTTTGGATCCTCTGTCTCCCTCTCTCTCTCAAATTAAACATTGGAAAAAAAGAAAAAGAGTCAGATGCTTAACCAACTAAGCCATCCAGGCGTCCAGACTGCCAATATCCTTAACTGAAAGAACTATTTCAAGACATTGGGTGTGACAGCCTCTGTAAGAAATTAAAAGCATATACAGGAACCTTTTAGTGAATAGTGAGAGGCTCTCCTGCTTGAAAAGAGGACAGAATATGTTTAGGTAGTTCCTAACCCCCTGAAAACTACCTCCAAAGAGAAATTTGTCAGTATTTAAGTCTACCAGACTTCCACGAGTGCCTTCATCAGAGTGAGGGACTGGTCAGTCACTTACCTGGTAATAAAAATCGTCCAGGTAGGGGTCAGTGCTCTGTAGCTGCATCATCTGGATTTTAGAGACCCAGTCTTTCTCTCGCTGCAGCATGAGGTTGGCATAGGGGTCCTTTCGGAGATGGTCCTGATGGCTGCTCCGGTGACTTCCTCGATCTCCCGCACCGTTAAGACTCCGATGCTGACTGAGAACCAAACATAGGGCTCATTCACTCCAAGTCAGGGCATTCCTTGGGTCTCATAACAATATGGGAACAAACCAGGCCAAGTTAAAAAAAAAAAAGATGCCACTTTGCTTTTGTTAAAAAGGGAGAACTGAGTCTTGCTGGAATCTGAGAAGAAAGAGCTACGCAACACACACTGAGGGAAGTAACGGAGATCGGAGTGCCTCACCATGTGCTAAGCCCTCTCACCCGTGGCCTTCTGCTTAAGCCCTACAAGAACCCTAACAAGTGGGGAGTTTTATTTTCTCCACTGAAGACAACAAACTGAGGCCAAGGAGATGTGAAACACAGGCCAAGTGACTCCCAGTCTATACACTTCTTTTTTAACTTGTTGAAAATCATGAAATACTTCAAATATAGAGAAAAGCCCACAATAAACATTCACTTATCCACCACCAAGACTTAGTGGGGAAAAAAAATTGCCCAAACTTGCATATATAGAAACCTTTTAGTGAATAGTGAGAGGCTCTCCCGGTTGAAAAGGGGACAGACCGTGCTTTGTTCTAACTAAGAAGCTCTATAGAGTTTTACGCAGGAACATTTAAGTAACATACTGTCACAACATTCACAGTTGAAGGCCCTCTTGAACCCCGTCTGGACCCTAGTTTCCAGCTTCCCTCCCTTCCCAGAGGAACCACCATCCTGACGTGGTGAGAACTCTCCCTGAAATGTTTTAAGACTTACTGCTTGTGTGTCCATCTTTAAATATTATACAGTATTATTCTCTGTGCCTTTAAGTTTTACATAAATGGTACTGGATAAGTTTCTTCTAATTCAACATCACCTTCTTCATATGTATCCATGTCGACAGCATACCCAGGTGTATACCAAAAAGGAGAACTGCTAGGTTGTAGTGTATCCACATTTTCAACCTTATTATTTACTACCAAATTCTCTCACAAGAGGCTGTAAAACCAACATTCTTGCCAACAACGAGTGTTGAGACATTTCAAATTTTGCTTATCTGATGATGTAAAATGGTTATCTAATTTTAATCTGTGTTTTCCTGATTATAAGTGGGCTTGAAATCTTTTCTTTGTTTTTGACTTTCAGGTGTCTGATACGATGTTCAACAGTTCCACGTGTTACTCTGTGCTCGTCACGACAAGTGCTCTCCTTAATCCCCATCCTCTACTTCCCCCGGCCCACCTCCCCTCTGGACACCACCAGTCTGTTTTCTAGAATTCTGAGTCTGTCTCTTTTTTCCTCTGTTCGTTTGTTTTGTTTCTTAAATTCCACATATGAGCAAAATCATATCAGCTTTACTAAGGTCTGATACACAACTGTGCGTATTTAACGTCTATAATTTTGTACATTTGGACACGCGCGAACCCTTTCGACACCATCACCACACGTGGGGTAACAGATGTATCCGATACCCACCAGGGTTTCTGGATCTCCCACTGTTTTTTTCTTGTTGTTGTTGTTGTTGTTGTTGTTTGGTGGCAAGACATTCCACATGAATGAGATCCACCCTCTTAACAAATCTCAAGCATGTAAAACCATACTGTTAACTACAGGCACTACAAGTTTCATATTTTCACACAGTCAAATGTATTGATCTTTTCCTTTAAGGTGTGCCCTTTTCATGTCTTATTTTAAGAGCGTCTATTTTTTTCCCCTGCTGAAAGTATCCTAGAGCTTCTTTGAAAGTGAGAAGGAATTACAGAAACAGAACCACAAAACTAAAGGTTAAAGAAACCTCAAAGTTATGTTTACTTTTCTTATTTTCTGTATATGAATGATCATAGAGCACCAGGTCTGTGAAGTCAGGACTGTGACATGTCCTGTGTTTCTTTTAATCCTCAAAACCTACCACAGTGTCTGCTCTACAGCCAGGGCTGCCTATATAAATACAGAGTTATATTTGTGAATGAGATTAAATTACAGGCAAAAATAGAGTGACTTGGTTTTACTGAAGACTGAAGTTAAGGCTAGCCATTATGCTTCAAAGTTACCTCTGAGCTGAGATTATAAACAAAAGGTAGTTAAGAGTATGGTAAGAACTTGGTAAGGAGTAAAAAATGACTAAAAAAAAAAAAAAAAAATCAGATCTAAATTGTGTTTCTGATGGGGATGCCTGGGTGGCTTGGTTGGTTAAGCGACCAATTTTGGCTCAGGTCATGATCTCATGGTTCGTGGGTTCCACCCCACATCAGGCTCCATGCTGGACGTGGACAGCCTGCTTGGGATTCTCTCTCCCTCCCTCCCTCTCTCTGTCCCTCCTCCACTCGTTCTAAAATTAATAAATAAAAAGAAAATTAGTAGCGCTGTCAAAACTACAAGCTGAGTTAAAAAACCACAAGGAGCAGGATGAGTACTTACTTTCTGTTCTGCTGCTGCCTCTGATGCAAGAGCCGACGGTGCTGGGGATGGAGGTGAGTTGTGTCTGGTCTAAACATCGGGGCCTGAGACCTGAGAAAAAAGGGAAAGGTTTCCAATGACTGTTCTGATGACGTGACATTTTAGAGAATGTTGTCAGTACAGGGTAACTTCATACATGTCCACCCAAGGGAATGTTCAAGTCTATTCTCAGATCTTTCAGAAGGAAAAGACAACTGTGTTTTTACATGTCTTCTACAGAGATTAATTCTCAACTCGTAAGAAGAGGATCATAAAATCTGAGTGAATTAGCAGTAAATAGTGTAACTATTTTTCTTCTCACTCCTGTTAACAGAAGTCTCTTAAAAGATTTAATGTGCTTATTTTGAAATCTTTGGGAGAGACACTGAAAATATATGTGATTAAGGAAGACACTTGTTGGAATGAGCACTGGATATTAAACACAGGGGATGAACCACTGGAATCTACTCCTGAAATCATTATTGCACTATATGCTAACTTGGATGTAAACTAAAAAATAAATTAAATTAAAAAAATAAAATAGCCCCCTAGCATTCCACACCAAAAATAAACAAGCAAACAAATAATTGCTGCCAAAAAAAAAAGAAAGAAAGAAAGAAAGAAAGAAAGAAAGAAAGAAGAATAAAATATATGTGTGGCTATCAATTTATGTCAACTTGGCTACAGGCTATGGTACCCAGCTGTTTTCTGGTCACACACTAATCTAGATGTTGCTATGAAAGTATTTTGTAGATGTGATTAATTAAGAATTAATCAACAGGGGGCGTCTGAGTGGCTTAGTTGGTTAAGCATCCGACTTGATTTCAGCTCCAATCACAATCTTGCAGTTCTGTGGGTCGAACCCCATGTTGGGCTCTGCACTGTCAGTGTGGAGCTGGCTTGGGTTTATCTCTCTCTTTCTCTCTCTTTCCCTACCCTGCTCACACATTCTCTCAAAATAGTTAAAAACCTTAATTAAGAAAAAAGATGACCTTTGAAAATGTGGGTGGGCCTCCCCCAACCAGTTGAAGGCATTAAGAGCAAAACTGGTATTTCCCAGACAAGAAGGAATTTTGCCTCAAGACTGGAACACAGAAGTCCTGCCTGAGTTTTTGTTTTTTAATTTTTTAATTATATTTAAATCTAAGTTAGTGAACTGCCTGAGTTTCTAACCTGCCAGCCTGTCCTACAAATTTCAGACTCAACTGCAAATTCAACTCTTATCTGAATTTCCACTCTGCTGGCCTGCTCTATGGATTTCCTTAGCCATTCCTTAAAATCTTTTCTTTATGAAGATATACACGTATATACATATATACATATATACACACACACATATATATATACACACACATATATATATATATACACACATGCGTATGTGTGTATATATATCTTAAAGATTGTTTCTCTGAGGAATCCTGATATGATACGGTATGTAATAAAACATAATTTCCCTGGGGCGCCTGGGTGGCGCAGTCGGTTAAGCGTCCGACTTCAGCCAGGTCACGATCTCGCGGTCCGGGAGTTCGAGCCCCGCGTCAGGCTCTGGGCTGATGGCTCAGAGCCTGGAGCCTGTTTCCGATTCTGTGTCTCCCTCTCTCTCTGCCCCTCCCCCGTTCATGCTCTGTCTCTCTCTGTCCCAAAAATAAATAAACGTTGAAAAAAAAAATTTAAAAAAAAAAAACATAATTTCCCTAGAAGCAGGAACTTGAACCCCTGTTATAAAACCAGAGCAGAAGCGAGCAACCTAGCTAGCACTCAGATTAGCATCTGTATTGTATCTCTGTTCTTTAACATACGGTAATTCTTGTTAAGCCATAAGCACTTTGTGCCTATGTCCGAGTGTTTGTAAAATGGATATAAAGTGAGACCTGAAAGAGGTTAGAAGAAATAAAAGAGGTGATTAACCAGCAAGGTGCAAATATACACAGGAAGCATGTGACTTTAGGGAAATGCTAATTTGGAAGAATGCCTGGAGGCTGTCAAACATTTCTGTGTTTGGCAAGTTGAGGATACAAGAACATCTCAAAACCCACCCCTCGCAACCATCATGAGGCCTCTGTATTGTAACACTAAGCCTCAGTGACTATGACAGATAAACAGTGGCCTGTGTTTGCACACCTTAGGTTTTGCAGGTGAGGCCCTGGGCCGGGGGAGTGCTGCTGGGGAGGCGGTGGGGCGGGGGGTGCAGCACTAAAGAAGGCACGGAAGCCCGGCGCTGGGGGCAGCACCTGCCCCACTCGCCCTTGCAGCAACTTGGGATTCATGGCGGCAAGCGGGCTACCAACAAATCCAGGAACCCGTGCAAACTGGCTGGGAGACATCCGTCCAGGCGGCAGCTAGAAAGAGGGACAAGATCTCAGATTTAGTTCATCAGCAAGTCCTCTTGCTTTTACAAAAGTGAATGCGATTTCCATCAATAACTTTGTTTGAATAAAGTGTAGGGAAAATTGGGAGGCAGTAGAGACTGATTAATGGCAAAGAGGGACATCATCTAGTAAATGTCAAGAAAGTAAGAGAGCTCTTCGTGAGCTGGGCTAATCATAGCCTTACCTGTGCTCCTCCCAGAAGCTGTGCTCTCTGGAGGGGGCTGAGGACAGGAGGAACACTAGGAGGGAAAGGGTGACCCAGCAGGGAAGAGTTCTAAGGGGGAAAAAAAAAAGACAAAGTTATATGCTTTCTGCGAAACAGGTAAATCAATATAACAAAGAATTCGGTAGGAATGCTGAATAAACTTGGATATAAAAATGCTCAAACTGTATAGTCAAGCTACCCACGGAAGGAATACAAAAGAGAGCAATGCTAGAAATCAGAAAGCACGATGGGGCAGCTGGGTGGCTCAGCTGGTCAAGCATCAGACTTCAGCTCAGGTCATGATCTTGCAATACATGAGTTGGAACCCCAGGTGGGGCTCTGTGCTGACACTCAGAGCCTGGAGCCGCTTTGGATTCTGTGTCTCCCTCTCTCTCTGCCCCTCCCCCACTCATGCTCTGTCTCTCTCAAAAATAAACAAACATTAGGGGGCGCCTGGGTGGCTCAGTCAGGTGAGCGTCCGACTTCAGCTCAGGTCATGATCTCACAGTTCATGGGCTCGAGCCCCGCATCAGGCTCTGTGCTGACCGCTTGCTCAGAGCCTAGAGCCTGCTTCAGATTCTGTGTCTCCTCTCTTTGCCCCTCCCCCGCTCACGCTTTTGTCTGTTTCTCAAAAATAAATAAATGTACA